TGCTGTAGCCGGCAATAGTAGTACTAAAATTACAAAAATATATCTGAATCTTGTCGAGAATGAGAAAACCGGAACAAAAATAATCAAATCGTTTAGACCAGAAGTAGCATTGAAATTCTGAAACTGTAGTAGATTGTCATTGAGACATAAAATCATCTGCAATGTTGATTAACATTTGTTTTTGCCAAGACTAAAAGTAGTACTGAAATTCCTAAACTCATACCGACTTTAGCGAAATTCTGAAGAATATCGGTAAAAAATTCAAAATATGGACCAGGCTAAGATTATATCACAATTTCAAAACTAGTACATAATTTACCTTTGGCTAGAAATCAAATTTTCCCTGAAATATAAGCAATTTTACAATATTTATTACAAATTCTCAAAAGGTTTTAAAACTGTGAAATATACAAATTTAGTATTCTCACAATAAAAAAGGGTAGTGCGTAAAGGTAGGACATTAAATCGGACAAGCATTTTATCACTAACATAATATCTAACACTCAATACTCAATGCAAAATGCGTTGTGTTGTGTCTAAAAATCTTCACTTAGCATCAAAAGAAAAGTGCAAAAAGAATAAGAACGAAATGAAATCTGACATACCATCCAGTTCTCCATATACAAGATCCAAACTGTCTTGCCCATTGCCTAAAATCATACACCAACTCTCTAAGGGAGCATCTAAAAAAAAAAAAAACATTCCTCTCGAGCGTTTCGGTAAGGTTCCCTTGAAAGAATATTACCTCCAGGCACACTGGTACGGTCGCCACGAAGGAAACTGACCCTGAGTGCCTAAAACCATCGTACCACTAATGAATTATCCAAATACCCTTTACAAATTTCTGTATTTCCTTAGAAGATTTGACAAACATTATTGCATTGGGGGGAGGGTTTCGTTAGCTGTTTATGATGGTTAAATTATTGCTAAATTATTTCCTCACCAACTACATTTTCTATCTTTATTTTCAAAAATCTGCATGTTTGCATTCTCGTTCTTTAACAACATTTTGCAGGACTTTATTTTAATTTGAAAAGCAAACATAATTGTAATTTATGAGACTACAAAAATATATATAAAATCTGCAAAAGCTGGCATCAATTTGCGAGAGCGTTCTACACAAACATTTCCAGGTAGGTTTATAAGTCGAATTGTCGTGACCAACATAAACCAGTATCGTACAATCTTTGCTTAGTTACCGCTTTGGTGGTCTTATGTTGTTAGAAGGTCCGCCTTAGATGCGCGAGGTCGCAGGTTCGAACCGCGGTCGAGTCATACTAAAGAATTACAAAACTATTACTAGTAGCTGCCTCGCTTCGCTCTCAGCATTTAGAGGTTTTTTATTAGGACTGGTCGGCCTGGTGTCGTGATAATGTGACTAGGTGGGCGATAATGCTAAGTGTCATTGGCATGATGCTCAAGTGCAAAGAGATCACTTATAAACTCAAACTGCAAACATGGTAGCGATATGATTTATTTTTTCTTAAAGCTACGTTAAAAACCAAAATCACACACACACACACACACACACACACACACACACTTTGCTAAGTTATTTTCTATCTTAAATATAATCTTTTTCATATTTCAACCACTTTTTAACATCATATATAATGATAATAAATCCAGATGCTGTTGTTAATTGTCCAAATTTGTTGTATTACTTCTGCTCCCTAGGTATTTGCTATATCGAACTTGAAAATAGAAGCACTACCATTAGGCTTATAAAGTATCTTAAACAGTCTGTTCAAACAAATTGCACGTAGTTAAATATATAACGACATCAAAATGAACGACAAAAGATGTTGTGAAAATTTATTAAAATGAACTATCACAAGCTGTTTGTTTGAAATTTTTAAATAAAAACATTTCTAAACCAAACACTGGTACTTCAGGGCTCTGTCTATGGTATAAATATTAATTTACATTTTTCCATTGCAACTTCAAGTTTATAGACTGCAAATAGGTTGAAGTACAAATCGAGGACTTTGAATGGTAACATTGGAACAAAATGTTTCTACGTTAGTCCATAAGGATGGTGAGCTATATTTATTCCTGCCCACAACCATGTAGTTTGTATTAAACCGTATATTGCTCAAGCTCTCTATATCGATCTTGCTGAAGTGTGTGTGTGTGTGTGTGTGTGTGTGTGTGTGTGTGTGTGTGTGTGTGTGTGTGTGTGTGATATGCCCATTGCATTACCTCCAAAACATATATAGTACTGATATTTTCGGTATGAGAGAGAGAGAGAGAGAGAGAGAGAGAGAGAGAGAGAGAGAGAGAGAGAGAGAGAGACAGCTTATAATTATTTTAATGTCTTTCATAGCAAGAGTATTGTTATGCGTTGCTGGAGCCTGATATACTTGATATATTTCTCAACTGATATAGCGGGTATAATAAAAGAAACACTGAATTTTCTACAGATCGCTTGAGTACATACTACAATGATAGTGCGCAGGAATATATTTTGGCCGATATACATGATCGTTGATATAAAATGATAATGCTATTTAACGGTTACCTTGTGACCCAATAAAAAAATCTGCACACAATTTATTTTGTGCTTTTATATATTAAATTGCATAAATCTGATCGAATTTAGTCATAAAAAAGTCATATAGATCATGGATGTGCATTTACTCATCTTAAATTAAATATATAAATTGCTGTTTTAAAATTTAATACAAATTTTGTTGAACCAAGGTCAATGATAACCTGGTTAAAAAAAAAAAAAAAAAAAAAAAACGCGCTTAATGAAGATAACGTCGGGTCTAATCGTCACAATAAAGGGTGGTGAAAATTTGTTTATCAACATGCACAGCTTCGTTCAGACATCACAGTGCACGACATTCATTCCGGATTGTACTGAATTATACGTGTTGGTTAATCTCGTCTAAAAGTGTCTACGCAATTAAACTTTGATTTTGCCGTAATTTTTTCTCGCGGCGCGTAAATAGTTACATTCCAAAGGAACGTGGATGTATGAGGATGCAAATAAAGTTAATAATTTTCATTTAGAGGTATGCAGACTCCAATCCTGATAAATTATACTATTTGCTGATCTGGCCGATGTTTATGGCCTTTACGGATTTAACTTTAACACGCCGTGTGTACCTGATACATGTCGCATAGTAATTAAGTTCTTGTATCCAAGAATACATAAAGCATTATGTAGACCTGAAATTATGTTGGCGGTGTTGGTAAACTCGAATCGTTGTAATGATGTTTAACAAAGCTTGAATCAAGAGAACCAGTTCATAATATCACTAAAATGGCTGTCTCTAAAAAGTAATGCTAAAGTTGTGAATTTGTCTCTGATAATTAGATTCATCGATCTTAGAGGAAACGTAGTACTAAAAGCTTCCTAGAGTCTTGTGGTGACTGACAAAGTATGGGCAAATCAAACTGCTAAGATGAAAAGTAACACATAGTTCCGAAACTGTGGCGGATTTTAATTGAGACTGAACTTTTTCCGGATATATTTTCAATATTAAATTCACCTAGAATAAATGTAGAAATATTATTCCGAATCTTTATTGTACTCCAACAACCTAGCTCCATTTGTTACTTGTATTTATTTATTTTTCAATTTTTAAATTGGCCAATGGGCTATTACTAAAAGAAGTAGTAAAATTCCATACTCAAACGGGATTAAGCAGTTACTTAAAACTTGTCCGTAAAAAAGTTTAAATCAGGTGGAGACAAAAAGTAAAATTACATTTCTCATTCAACACACCACATATATAATGCAGTACCCGGTAATAGTAGTACTAAAATTACAAAAATATATCTGATTCTTGTTGAGAATGAGAAAACCGGAACACAAAAAATCAAATCGTTTAGTTTAGAAGTAGCATTAAAATTCTGAAACTGTAGCAGACTTTCATTGAGACATAAAATCATAAGCAATGTTGATTAACATTTTTTTTTGCCAAGACTAAAAGTAGTACTGAAATTCCTAAACTCATAACGACTTTAGCGAAATTCTGAAGAATATCCGTAAAAATTTCAAAATATGGACCAGGCTAAGATTATACTACAATTTCAAAACTAGTACATAATTTACCTTTGACTACAAATCAAATTTACCCTGAAATATAAACAATTTTACAATATTTATTGCAAATTATCAAAAGATTTTAAAACTGTTAAATATACAAATTTAGTATTCTCAAAATAAAAAAGGGCAGTGAGTAAAGGAAGGAGATCAAGTCATGCAAACACGTTATCCATAACATAATATCTAACACTCAATACTCAATGCAAAATGCGTTGTATTGTGTCTAAAAATCTTCACTTAGCATCAAAAGGAAAGTGTAGAAAGAATAAGAACGATATGAAATCTGACATACCAGCCAGTTCTCCATATACAAGATCCAAACTGTTTTGTGCATTGCCTAAAATCATACACCAACTCTCTAAGGGAGCAACTAAATAATATTCCTCTCGAGCGTTTCCCTTGAAAGAATATTACCTCCAGGCACACTGGTACGGTCGCCACGAAGGAAACTGGCTCTGAGCGCCTAAAACCATCGCACCATTAATGAATTATCCAAATACCCTTTACAAATTTCTGCATTCCTGAGAAGATTTGACAAACGATATTGCATTGGTTTTTATGATGGTTATTATTGCTAAATTATTTCCTCACCAATTACATTTTCTATCTTTATTTTCAAAAATCTGCATGTTTGCATTCTCGTTCTGTAACAAGTTTTCGCTGGACTTTATTTCAATTTGAAAAGCAAACAGAATTGTACTTTATGAGACGACTATATATATATATATATATATATATATATATATATATATATATATATATATATATATATATATATATATATATATATATATATATATATATATATATATATAAAATCTGCAAAAGCTGGCATCAATTTGCGAGAACGTTCTACACAAACATTTCCAGGAGGTAGGTTTATAAGTTGAATTGGCGTGACCAACATAACCCAGTATCGTACATTCTTTGCTTAGTTACCGCTTTGGTGGTCTTATGTGGTTAGAGCGTGCGCCTTAGATGCGCGAGGTCGCAGGTTTGAACCACGGTCGAGTCATACTAAAGAATTACAAAACTATTACTAGCAGATGCCTCGCGATGATGGCGACCGATATTTCGTCCTTTCCCCTACCATGAAGTTTATATTAAACCGTATATTTCTCGAGTTTTTTTATCGAGCTTGCTGATGTGTGTGTGTGTGTGTGTGTGTGTGTGTGTGTGTGTTATTATACTCATTTCAATACTTGCAAAATATATATGGTGCTGACATTTGGTATGAGAGAGAGAGAGAGAGAGAGAGAGAGAGAGAGAGAGAGAGAGAGAGAGAGAGAGAGAGAGAGAGAGAGAGAGAGAGAGAGAGAGAGAGAGAGACTGCATATAATTATCGGAGTATTCGAAACTATCTTTACCCAACGTGTTAACGTGCTATTACCTTGAAATCGCTATGCTTGTTTTATGGGTCTTTTTTGCAAACACTGATGCAATATATCAGTTACACCTTTTTCTTGGTATTTTCCTGCATCATTGCTAAATTTAGGTTTATTCAAGTATATATGTGCTTGTGTTCGTCACAAAACACTTCAAAGGAGGCAACTGTTTATTAATCACGTATTTATCTCTTTTATTTATTTACTTTTTTTTGAGAGAGAGAGAGAGAGAGAGAGAGAGAGAGAGAGAGAGAGAGAGAGAGAGAGAGAGAGAGAGAGAGAGAGAGAGAGAGAGAGAGAGAGAGAGAGTCTCCATAGCTATATGTCGCTGAAAACTTGGATTCAATGATGACAAAGGAAGAAGTATTACATACTGGACTTCGAAAAATAATGCTTATGTGCGTAATCCAGTAACATAACCGAAAAACAACTTGTTAGTTTAGTATGTATTCTATGTCAGGTGATCAAATGCGATAATTAAAATTTGATCAAATGAGAAAAAAATTTAAAGACACACGTACAGCCGTTAATGTAGAGCAAACCACTTTATACTGATTAGAAATTATAGTTCTTGTTTATATCATTGGGACAGAAACAATTTGGCTGTCCAAATTTCGTCTAAATTAGCAAACAATCATTGCATTTTCTCCAATATGTCTCCAACTGAACGAAGTGTGTAGAGTTGTTTTGAAAATTAAACTATTCTTGATTACGGTTGACTTAAGTTGGAAATTAGCAGGCACAATTAGGATAAACTAGCAGGGTTGTAACTACGGAGGAGCGTGGACTTGTGTCTTACCTTGTGTATTATTATTAAATCTAAATCTACTTCACTCATATTTCCACATAATACACTGATTTTAATCAACTGAAGTATGGAGTTTCTATAAATGAATGGTCTCAGTTCAGATCGCTTATTAAAAATCAACAATTTCCATATAAATAGTAATCCATTCTGTACTTAAATGGCAACATTTTAATTAAAGTGTGAAACATTTTAATCATTTTTGTTATTGTAAATATTCTCATTTCCTATCGTAATTTTTTTATTTATGGTTTTATTTATTTCTGTAATTTTCTTTTGTTTTGGTTTGTTCCGATAAAACCATGCACTTAAAAAGATTGGTTTTCACCGGCACCGACCGTTCTGCCATAGGAAGTGGTACAAACGATATGGCGGCGCAATTTTCGTCACGAGCTCTGCTTGTTGGCAGTGTTTGGTTAAGTACGCTGGGAATGATAATTTCAGTGTATGCGTATCATGTCGAGGTCTCTGTTGAGAAAGATCCATCATTTAGGGCTCTGTGTGATATAAGTGAAAGAATAAGTTGCTCCAAAGTATTTTCATCCAGGTGCGTTGATGTAACAGTTGTGTTATGTATTTTCGAGGAACTCACTATAATTTCGTTTTTCAATATTGATTAGAGATAGTAATTAAAATATGTAAGATTTTATTCTCATGGTATAATGTGGAGCGGTTTCTGGCAATGCTTCATTGTTCCTTATGTGCAAACTAGATTTAAATTTATGAAAAATGTGTTTATTTCTCAAATCATACCGAAATTTGATTTCATCCTTAAGCATATATTGTACATAATTTTAACATTTTTTCGGATTATATTGTATCTTGTTTTACTGAATTTTAGATGTTTTGGAAGGGTTTAAGTTCCTAAATATCTGCAATTCATTTTTTCATTTATTGAATATGACTTTGTTGGCACAGTGGCACTAGTGTGCGCGACATAAACATCATTGATAGTGACATATAATATTCACATTCGTCGATGCTTTTCATGTCAGTTACAGAATTTTATGAAATAAATGTTTTATTTATTTGCTATAATTACCTAAATCATAACAAATGTTTGATTCCTGAAGACACTTGCAGTCCAATAAAAAACTTCATTAAACGAAAGTGTATTCTTCTGAGTGAATCGGAGTCTTAGCGTCGATCTAAAACTTACTTCCAAGAATTGCAAAAAAATCTTGTTTCACAGGTTAAACAAATCAATGGTCTGATTGCAGCATCTTGCTATTTATGTACCTTTACATAGAATTTTTCACTGAACATTTAACAACTACTGAAACACTTTTAACAAACTTGGATTTATGTACACTATTGCCAACTAAATTCATTTTCCAAAACAATCATTTACTGATTTTTAAATAGGTCTAGAAAATTTTTGGTCAGAGTCTGTAAGGTAACTTTTACTCCTGGTTGCTAATTCTCATAATTTTACAACTATATCTAAATAATTCAATATATCCTGTACTATCAAAGTAAATTTTTTCCCTTTTTGCTGCAGTGTTTCTGGCATCTGTGTAATTTAAAATTGTATTAGTTAAACTGCCTTCATAATGAGAAAATGGTTTAAAATCAACCAAATGGTTTGTGCTGCTTTAACTTGTCATGCTTGATACAGGCATTGACTATTATTACCACTCAAATGCGACTCCCAGCAAACAAGCAAGGTAAACTGCAAATCTTGGCACTGGGGAGATGAATGAGGTAAAGTTATTATGGCAACATGGGTAAATGAACTTATACAAAAAGTGATTTATTACATGTTGCTTATACTGTAGTGAATCTTTTACTGAGGTATTGTAAAACAATACTATGTACATACATGTACATACTCATAGCCTGTTCAAAGTCCAAGTCATAATTGTGAACCTCCCAAACAGGAAGGTTTTTCACTCAACATGAGGGGTGACTCCCATCCATCATATCATATCTTTTGTATGCTAAATTATTATTTTAAAAAAGTTATTTTTCCATTTTTTTTCACACTTTGCTTACAGTGTAGGATATTAAGAGTGATTTTTGATTGAACTGGCTTATGTAGGTCAAGATGATTTGATTGATATTTTCAAGCTGAATGAAATAATTAACATCCCATTAATTATGTCAGCAGTGTCATTTAACTTCATTGTTTGAAGTTTGTTGACATGGATTATACAGTGTATGATCAGAAGTTTGGATTTACTTGATTAATTGGATTAATTGATTTATAGTCAGATTACCATAGAGCTTAATTAGTATAAAACAGAGTTAGTTTGGCTTTAATGTTTCAAGTTTGTCAAGATGTTTTAGCATGTGTTATATCCTAATGCTAAAAATCCAAATTCTATGCAATCAAAAAATCACATGAAATTCAGTGGTGGATGGGGACAGAAATTTTAGTTATTGGAACCAAGTTCAAAGTACATGAATATCTATTCTGCCTTTTCCATATGGTTATTTTAAAATCTTCTATGATGTCAAGAATGCTTTATATTAAACACAACAAATGTCATCACTGAAATCCTTGTTTACTGAATCTGCATCAAGATATTAAGATATACATTCTGAAACATTTTATTGCTCTCAGTTACAGCAGCACATCATTTTTCAGATTTAGTTCTGTGACTCAGAAATCACAGAAAGTTCTTTTACAAAGAAAGACTGCTAACATAATGACCCAAGTGTTTGGTCCTCATTTACTAAAGAAAGTAAAAGACATGCCATAGTAAAAAGTTTCCCATTCTCATTGAAAATCTTCTTTCTTTTGGGAGTCAATACTTCTGACCAAATTTTGCAAATCTAACAATTTGCCCTTAGCGGATTTCTTTGTTCCAACACATGTATGCAAATTGGTATTAGAGGCAAATAACAGGGCAGAAAGCTTTCTTGTAATCACCCACATCTGAATGGAGAATTCCTCGTAGTGATTTCAAATGTGTTATTACTTCTGCATATTCTGTATACTTGGCAAAATATATTGAATGAATGCACTAAAAACAATTTGTTGGTACATCAAACCCTTCATTAAAGAGTATATTCACTCACAGAACAAATCAAAGGGATGAGATGGTATTGTTTTTCATATGTTATAATTCTCAGTGTAGAGTTAAATGATTTTTTTTTTGTATTCACAGATATGGAAAAGGTTTTGGGGTCATTGACAAAATCTTTGGAAAAGAGAGTTTTCTTAACCAGCCCAATAGCGTATATGGAATGATGTTTTACTTACTGGAGACAGTCTTGGGTATATTTTTGATTTAATTTTCATTAGAAGGAAAGACTACAGTATAGATAATAATTATATTTTCTACTTTCAGAAAAAAATATGGCTGAAGCATTTTTGAATGAACCAAATTAGACAGTTTGAATGTGCTATATGTATTTTCTTATAAGTAAAGTCACATTGCAACCAAAAAAGTCAGGATCTGCCATAGAATAATGCTTCTGAAGATAGTGGTCTACATTGTTCTATTGAATACGCCTAACAAACTGCACATACACAGATTTGCTGTTGCATCATGCAATGGCAGATCTGGTCTGGTCTGTGCAGTTTGCAGTTGGTCTCATCTTATGAGTATATATGGTACAGTTAGTAAGACTAAAAAAAATCTTAGTGCAGTAAGACACAAATGTTATTGTTGCCACATTTGTGTGGTGACTATTGTGATGCCATCAGTCTTTCTGTTTAAATATTATGTGATAGAAGATTTAGACTAAATATTTAATCATGTTGGTCAGAAACATTGGGACCTGCTGTAAGGTCAATGTTTTCTGACATTCATTTTCATGATAATACAAAAAATATAGAGAAGCAAATATTATTTAACAGATGCATGTCGTTACTACCAGTACATGG